GCCATGCCTGAAATCAGGGACTGAAGCCTTTTCTGGACAGTATTACATATCCAATAATTAGCACTGAAATCAACTGTTTGATTTATTCAGCAAGTCAGTTACTGCTCTGTGCCTCAGTTTTCTCATCTGTAAAACAGGCTAAGAATAACTTACTTCATCTCACAGAGGCCCAGCGAGGCTACTTCTTTAATAATTTAAAGCTCTTTGAGATCCGTGGATGGGAGGTGGTGTAAATATGCAAATTAGTGTTATAACACTATTAGAGTTTCAGCTGAGAGTACCTTAATACAATAAAGCCTGCAAACTTGGTTACTGGGGGGGAGGGAAGCAGGAGAAAACTTTTTAAAAACCCAATAAAATGCTAACATGTAAGAGAAAAAATCAGTTAGTCAAATGGTAAAAAAATTGTCACAAGGTTGAAAAATCTGTCCCTTTTCACTTAAAAAAAATTGACTTGCTCTAATAAAAATTCTCATAAGGAGAAGACAAATGAAGAGAACAAGGGAGCATGTTCAATATCTGTACTTTTTTTTGGTGAGTCTCTTAGTTGACTAGTTTTCATAATATGCGTAGCATTGAAAATTGTCACTAATATCTCATACCCATATTTTTATAGGAGTTACTATGAAGCCAATGATGTCACTTCTGCTATTGAGATAATGGAAGAAGCCTTTACTAAACATCAGAGCCTCATCTCCATGGAAGATATAAACATAGCGGCTGAACTGTATATCTCCAACAAACAGTATGACAAAGCTATGGCGGTATGAGAATGAAATGCTTTTGTGTCAGGTTTAACAGTTTTGTGCCCTTTAGAAGGACAGATTTTATCTTGATGTTATTAAGCAATATAGTTTTTCCAGTTTTGTGATAGTTCAGCAAGTCAAATAAGTTAATATTCATTACTCCAGTGCGTCAGTAATTAGCATTGAAATTAAGTTTGATTTATTCGGTAAGAGGCAACAGAAGATTTGTATGTTGTTTCTTGGGGAAGGTTTTAAAAATGTGATTTTCTTTTCCTTAGATGTATTGATCTGGGTAGCCTGATGAAGCCAATGAGTCGTGATCGATGTGTCTATGACACATCATCACAGATTATTCATAGTTTAGGGCAAGAAGGGACCATTAGATCATCTTTATGACCTATAATACATCATAGGTCATTACACCCAGTTACCCTTGTGTTGAGCCCAATAAGTTATGCTTTAGTCAAACACAGGTAGTGCTTGGCTAAAGCATATCTCCCAGAAAGAGAGACAGATTCGATCCGAAGACCTCGCAAGATGAAGAATACACCCTCCCCTTGATAGTTTGTTCAAATGGTTAATCACTCACTGTTAAAATGTGTGCCTTATTTCTAATTTGAATATGTTAGGCTTCAGCTTCACGCCATTGGTTCTTGTTATGCCTTTCCCCGCTAGATGAAAGAGCCCGTTTGTACCTGTTATTTTTTTCCCCATTAAGGTATTTAAACACTGTAATCAAAGCACCCCTTCTTTTTGGTAAACTAAACAGATTGAGCGCTTCTCTGTCTTTGACTGATAAGGCATTTTCTCCAGCCCTTCAGTCATTTTTCTGACTCTTCAACTTCTCTGGTTTTTCAAGATTCTTTTTAAAATGTGGAAACCAGAATTTTACCCATAATACCGGTATCAGTCTATGCCATATGCAGAGGTGAAATCACCTTCCTGCTCCTACTCACTAATTCTCTATGGAAGTCTAAATATTTTACATCAAGACAGTCTCTGTATTAAGACGGGGTTTAGACTCTGGAAAGAAAAAATTGAAAAACCCTGTATTAACTACTTTTTGCATGGGTTACTCTGGCTATGACCACGTTGTGACGCTGTTTACTTAAACCAGTTATTTTATGGGGCTGATTTTATTGTTTCTAACAGGACATGAATTGCTCTTCCATTTTTAGGTTATTACGGATTTTTCAGGAATTGTAGTTTCAAAGAAAGTGACTGAACAAGGCTCTTCTGAGGAGAATAAAGGTAACTGGCAAACAAACAGCTAATAGGATGCCATTGTCAGTGTAATATACCATCTCCCTTATAGTGCATGTTTTTTTGAGCTATTCAATACTTCTAGATTTTTCTTGAAAAGCTCTTCATTGTTGTATTGAGTGACACATGGTCTATTAAACTTTTTATAGTAAATTAATTTTGCCCATAAAAGCCAATTGGCCACTTTGATGTGGTGACTCATTAAACCCATGGGCTGCTGCTGTCTAGGGTATAATATAATAGGTGGCTAGTTAAATTGCTAAAACTCCCACTGAGGTTTTCAGATCAGATGATTTACTTCTCTTAGATAAATAGCTTTTGAAAAACACTAATTTAATAGCATCTTGACTCAAATATCTGTCTTTATACTAAATGAGATAAAACTAATTATGTTCTTTATAAACCCTACCTGTGCAATTACAAATTCAAGTCTTTTGGTTTATGCAGATGTATAAATACTAGCTTGGGATCATAAATTTGCTTCCACATGAAAGCCATTGCTTGGTTCTGAAAATGTTTGTCTGCCGTCCTTTTAAATGGTTTGTCAAGCTGAAAAATGATTTTTTTTTAAATAAATAAATAAGCTAGCCCAGGCCAGTAATATTTGTCTGTGGCTGACCAGTTGGTTTAGCAGTGAAGTCCAAACCCAGTGCAAATACACCTCTACCCCAATATAACACGAATTCAGATATAACGCGGTAAAGCAGCGCTCCAGGGAGGCAGGGCTGCACACTCCGGCAGATCAAAGCAAGTTCAGTATAATGCGGTTTCACCTATAACGCGGTAAGATTTTTTGGCTCCCAAGGACAGCGTTCTATTGGGGTAGAGGTGTATAAGAGCTAGTCCTGCACTCCCTTTTCAGGCAAAACTCCTCAAAAATCTTCTCACTACTAAACATAAATAAGGAGCAAAACTACTATGAATCAAAAAATAAATGCAGTTTATTATGTCATGCCAGATCACATAGTTATTAGGACAAACCTATACAATCTGCTAGGAGCTTGCTTTCCCTTTTTCCCCGCTCTACTTTTTAAAGCCCTTGTCACTGTGCCATCTTTTAAAAAGATGGCCTATTTTTCAGTAGTTAACAAAAAGCTACTAATCAAATGTAGACACCAAATTAAATAGTTTTGGATTCACTGAAAACTGCTAATGAGTTTAATCTGATTTTTTGTTTCCTGTCAGACATGAAAGATGTAGTGGCTGTCGTGGAAATTCAGGAGAGTCAAGTGGCCGTGATTGACTATCAAGATTTTCCAGCTGAATCCAGCACTGTTTGTAAGCAGTTTAATTCTGAATCTAGTGTAAATGTGAAACCTGATCATGGTCAGTATTCAGCTTTTGAAAGTCTGGGCAACAGTGAAGGTTTTTGACAGGAGGGATGTTGGATTTAGTCTAGAGAAGACTCTTGATCTGCCTTTCTCCTTGGTTGAAAATTACTGCCTCCTACCCTGTCTACCTTCACATTTTAAAAACACCCAGTTTCCAGAAATTATCCATTTTGAAACTGCTGTTTTGTGATGATTTTAAAACATGTATCAGCAACTAAATAATGATAATTATTATACTTGGCATATCTGGAGTCCTTTATTTGTTCAAAGAAATGTACAGACATTGACTAATCCTCACAACTGTGACTTATAGGTCCTGGAAGTGTGTATTAGACGTGAAATGGAGTTTATTATAGACCTGAGGAGTCTGTGAATGTATTTGCGGTTCATGTTGATTGATGGTGAGGCATGTTAGGTTGATCCAGATTTGGTGAGTTCCTTGACATTTAGTGATTGCGTTTACAGGAAGTACATTTGAGCAACCGTAACCCCAAATTAATTAACTTTTAGTGTGGGATTTCTATACGATTTAGTAGTTAGTTAACAAGAGTAACCTCTTTGACATGTACAGCACACTTGCCATTCTCTCCTTATTGCCGTCTTTGTAGGTATTACTTAGAGAGTTCTGTAGGTATGTGCTGTGTATGTTACAAAATGCAGAAAGAGTTAGTCCCTGTTCTTATAGGGCTTGTGGTCTAATGTGGAAAAGTAGCATATGCAGGACTACAGTTCACTTAATAGTAAAGGAGCTGGGGACACTGATGAGTAGGTCAGTATAGGAAGGCTTTGTGAAAGAAGAGAGTTTGAAGGAGGAGAGGGAGGGCACTAAGGACTCTGGTGCTGAGTATATCCTGCAAGGTGCAGAGCACCTTCAACTACTGCTGAAGTCAGTCAAAATTGATGGCAATTCGTAGGCTCAGGTGCTTAGGTCACGGGGAGCAGGAAGTTGCTTCAAACATCAGGGAAAGCAAGAAAGAAGTGAATCAGTTAGGACCTGATCTAACACTAATTGAACCAATAGAAAGATTTCCATTGACTTTTGTGGAGCTGAATCAGGACCAGAGACGAGGGTGCGGAGAAGTGTAATGAGGAAGAGGGTATAATAGAAAGGTTTTGAGGATGTGGTGTCATTGTTAAAAGCTGTTGTTTCAGAACAAAGTGTTGTCTTTTGTAGCTGAAGATAAAGTTAGCTGCTCTATACCTGATGGAGTTCCAATAGACATCACAGTAAAACTAATGGTGTGCCTGGTTCACCTGAACATCCTAGAGCCACTCAATGTAAGTAAAAACTAATACATAGATAAAATGGGGGTAATGTTGGTAAATCATGTAATGTGGTGTTCTCACTTTTTCATGAGTGAGGACTTAAGTTTGACAGTATGTTTTTTACTGTTCATTTTTAAAAATGGCCACAAAGCTAGGAAGGTCGTCACAAGCATTACAGGAGGCATGTAGGATGGATTTTAAAAATCATAATTATAATATAATCTCAAGACCTCTCACACACCATCCTGATGGAGCTTTTACAAGGGTATTTGGATGTGAAGTTTGCCTTTCCTCTATCAGAGCCAAAATAACATTGTTCTTTTAGGAACCTATCCTGAAATACTAATCTCATTTTTTCCCTTTGAAATCACATAAAAATGAAGGGTTCAAGTTTCAGGATGGACCACCTATGCACATTGTTTCAGATGTTGAATAGAAAATGTAAATATTCCATTGCCTTCCAATATAAAATGGGTTAGCACAGTAATTGTTTATGTATGTGGCTGGTCTTAATATTTCATTTTTACTTGTTTTTTTTATATTATTATTTTTTTGGGTGGAAGCCTCTTTTGACTACTCTAGTGGAGCAAAATCCAGAAGATATGGGGGACTTGTACCTGGATGTTGCAGAGGCGTTTCTGGATGTTGGAGAATACAATTCAGCACTACCACTGTTGAGTGCCCTAGTTTGTTCTGAAAGATATAACTTGGCTGTAGTTTGGCTCCGGCATGCAGGTAACGACATCGCAATACTGCTTAACACTTCTGACTGAAGAGTAGAAACTCATTTCCATATGATGCTAATAACATTCTGGTGACATTAGTGCTTTAAAGGCCTGAAACTGATAGGTGCTTTTGCAGTGCTGACCACCATCATGTCCCATTGACCTCTTAGGCCATTAGTTAAGAATGTCTGAACATTGGATAGAGAGTTCATATGATAAATTGTCATAAGTGTCTACCATGCTGTAGTTATGATTAGAGAATATCACATTTATCCTTGTGGTGGAAGGTTTTCTTTTATGGAGGTCTCCTTCAAGTGTGTCCAAAAATGTTCACATTGATTGAAACAATTTCAACATAAATATTAAGTTGAACAAGGGTCTTCATTGTTAAGACTAAACAGTGTTTTTTCTTTTAAGATTCTGCAGGTTAAATGACACTGTTATTCCTCAGGTACAAGATACTGTATTGTGTGTTCCTATTTTAATAATATGTGCTCAGTGTAGTTCTATTTGTAGAGCACAGCAAAAGCCTGTGTGTGATACAGAACTAGTCTGGTTTGTACGAAAATAGGCACAGTCTCACTTCTGTCATATAAGCATATTTTATTTGTTGATGTTTATTTCTAGAATGTCTAAAAGCCTTGGGATATATGGAGCGTGCTGCAGAGAGCTATGCAAAAGTTGTTGATCTTGCCCCGTTACATTTGGATGCAAGAATTTCACTTTCTACACTTCAGCAGCAGCTGGGTCGGCCTGAGAAAGCTCTGGAGGCTCTGGAACCAATGTATGATCCAGATACATTGGCACAAGATGCTAATGCTGCGCAGCAGGTAGGTGAAATGCTATATAATGTGTCTTGACTCTTTTGTCCACAGTTTTGGTGTACATAATTCTGTTACGGCAAGAATGTATTGCTAAATGCATTTCTTTGGTAAATTTCCTCCATGGCATTTAGAGTGATTTTGTATACTCTGTAAAGACACATTGTAATTTTAACGCTGGTAAAAGATGCCAGCTTGACAATACTGGAGACTGTGGTCCATCTATCTACAGCACAAGTCACAATAGGGGTTGTGGTGAAACGTTCCCTACTGTGCTCCAGAGGGACCACTGCTAGGGTCAGGAGGGTATCTCACGCTACATGTCTGTTTAATCCCGACTCCCAGAATCTAAATTCTAACTCTGATTTTTGCGTGCTGTATGACCACCTGTCCAATAGGAACTGGACTAAAGACCAGTCACTTCACATCAGCTGTTCAACAGACATTAACTTTTGTTTACTACTGATCTGATTGTAAGTGGTGACGTAGTTGATAGGTTCTGTATCCCATTTCCAATAGCTCCTCCATCGAATAAGATCTATACAGATTTTCTTCTAAATTTAAATGATGAAACAAAACAACTATTATCCGAGGGAAGTTTTGATTTTCCTGTGCTGTCATTAAGCTTTTACTACAGTTTTCTAAGTATTGTTATTTTCTTTTTTGGTACTGATACTATACTAGCAGCCAGAAAAGTAATGTTTATAAAAACACTTAGTGTAGGTAGTGGTAGTTTATGACTTAATTAACTCTGCTCAATGTTATCTAGGAATTAAAGTTACTGCTCCATCGTTCAACGCTGTTGTATTCTCAAGGCAAAATGTATGGTTATGTGGACACTTTGCTTACCATGCTAGCAATGCTATTAAAGGTAAGTTAATTCTTGTAGCCAAGCTTTACTGGAAGGGACAGACATGTCCTGTTTAAGCCAAAGGATAAATGTACTCAAAAGTATTAGAAATGTATAGAAATAATTGTAAACCGATATCTTGTATATGAAATATCATAGTTTAATATGCCTGCATCATCATCTGGTATACCTGAGTCTTTCAGAGGTGCCCCAATCAAAGCCACTAGGTATCTTTTGAGAATTAGGCCATTAATTTGTAATCAAAATAATGCTCTGTTCTGTATAAGCAGAACTTCTATTGTATGCGTTAAACTACTGATATGCCTTCTTTACGGATACTCCCTATTAGTATATGACATGTTTTTAGTGGTATTTTCTCACAAGTGTCTGCATATGTTTCGTTAAATGAAATATACACTAGGGTCTTTACTGGATGATTTCAAGATTGTTTCAGGTCTACAGTATCCCTGACTATGCATAGAACAATCAGAACATAGAATCACTTTTTAATCTTTGTGGTAGACAGTATTGTGTTTCACATATAGCTACCGTAAATTACACAAGCAACATAAGATGAATTAAAGTGGAATTATTTAAATAACTTTCCTTTTATGTTCTTGTTGTTCTATTCATATCATAACAAAAATATTTTTAGGTAGAATTTACTTAGTTTGCAAGTTGTTACTTTTTGTTTGAGTTTTGTTATATTCAGAGTTCCATTTTCCCAAAATTGTTACAGTTTGGGATCACAGTCACTGTACCAATTGGATAGTTGACTGTCCACCTGTTTCTAAAATCTTGATACTGGTAGCATGGCATCTTGTTTAGTATGCCTCTAGGAAAGAAGTTTTGATTCGGTTATAAACAGAAGTCTACCAACCTTCATAAAATTCAACTCCTCTGGAGAGCTTTTATCTTTCTTTTTTGGATAACTCAGTCTAAACAGGAACATGAAACAATGCTAAATACAATCTTATTGTTTGTGAACAATAGTCAAGTATGCTTCTGCTTATTATGGCATAACTGATCTGAAAACTATTTTTGAACACAGCTAGAGCAAGATGTATTGGCAACAGGATGTATTCATATAATCAGAAACTTAGAATGGTTGTCCTTCATAATTGTTTCCAGGTAGCAATGAACAGAGCTCAGGTGTGTTTGATATCTAGTTCCAAATCCGGGGAGAGACACCTTTACCTTATGAAGGTGTCTAGGGATAAAATTTCAGACAATGATGACCAAGAGTCTGCAAACTGTGATGCAAAAGGTAACAGACTTTTAAAAAAATAAATCATGTTAATTTCCTACATACCAAAAAATCCTGGAATGATGTTACATTCCAAATCCTTATTCAAATGTACATGACTTTATTAGATCTGTTTCACCCCCATGCTTTATTCATACAGTCAGGGCCGGCTCTAGGTTTTTTGCCGCCCCGAGCGTGCACAGAAAAAACCAAACCCCTCCCGGAATGCCGCCCCTGGAATTGTGCTGCCCCAAGCACGTGCTTGGTTTGTTGGTGCCTAGAGTCGGTCCTGCATACAGTGCCTAATTTAGACTCTGATCCTACAGACTTTACTCAGATGAATAGTCTGATTGAAGCCAAGGAAATGACTTTCATAAGTAAGGACTACTTGAATGGGTAAAGGTTGCAAAATCTTGTTGTTAACATGAAAGAGAGTATATTAATGAATGAAAGTCCATCAAGCCAAGCTTTGCCACAAGCGTTGGGACTGCACGAACCTATATTGATGGGCTTAGGAAAATCATGTTTTCCCCTTATTTAAAAGCAAGTTAACTCTAATCTGACAGGCAGATAGTATAGTCAGTACTGCTGCTAGGGGAAAAGTCTCTGTAGGCATAACAATATTTAAAAACAAAACAGAATGCTTTGTTTTCCAGCTAGATCCAAACTGTGACTGATTCAGACTTGTAGTTATTTAGCATCATCAGGTGAATGTGGAGGTTTTTAATGTGTGTTTATGTAATACTGGAGCAGCTTGAATTGCTGCTGTTTTAAATTCTGAAGTTCTCACTTTAATGGTTATGGGTTTGTTTAAAAACCAGGTATTTCATAAATTGTGTTATGAAAGATTTCAAATACCATTGAAATGTATTCCACTCTTAATGTAAAAGACTCTTTGTTCAAAAAAACAAATAAAAGTTTAGGCTGATGTTTAAAAAGCCTGTGTGTGAGTGTAAGTCTTTAGCCCTTTAAGACTTGAATTTCCTTGACTGATGGTGTTTATTAATATTTTAGCAATATTTGCTGTGCTCACAAGTGTGCTGACAAAAGATGACTGGTGGAACCTCCTCCTGAAAGCCATATACTCTTTGTGTGACCTTTCCCGATATGAGGAGGCAGAGCTGCTGGTGGATTCCTCACTGGAATATTATTCATTTTATGATGATAGGCAAAAGCGCAAAGAGCTGGAGTACTTCGGTCTTTCAGCTGCAATTCTGGACAAGAACTTCAGAAAAGGTTACAACTATATCAGGTGAGAAGCATTGAACTGTAGCTGATCACAACGTTGTGTTTTTTAATGGTTTGTATAATGATTTCGATTGAGGTTGTAGTTACATTGCTGAGAACATTTGCTGTTGATGTAATAGTTCATTTCTGAATTGCGGGTGGGATGATCTTTTGTTTCTAAAAGAAACTGAATACTGTTTACTTTAAATTTGCCTTAAAAGCAGATTCATTGACTGAAACGATAGGGCTTTTTGGTGTCCTTTAATTGCAAAGCAGTGTAATACAGTAACTAGCTCTATGTGCAGTGCAGCTCTTTGGTCATCTTGATGTACATTATGAAAGTACTCTACAAGCTTTCTTATCCCAAGTTTTGTCTCTTTTACTGATCTAACGTTTACTTCTGGGAAGTCCAAAGTGAAAGAATAGTCTTAAAGCAAATTGTAGCTCCTGTGGCTTCCCCTATAGACTGTTCGCTCACTGATTTATTGCATATTTACATATTCAATAAATGCTTTTCGCTCACATTTTAGGATAATGCTAATGGAAAATGTTAATAAACCACAACTCTGGAACATCTTCAATCAAGTCACCATGCATTCTCAGGATGTACGACATCATCGCTTTTGTCTTCGATTAATGCTGAAAAATCCTGATAATCATGCACTGTGTGTCCTAAATGGGCATAATGCATTCGTATCTGGTAGTTTCAAGCATGCTCTCGGTAAGGCCATCATTATACTGTACTAATATCAACAAGTATGACCTTTGGGGGTGTGAAATGTTAATCTCCTGTACTTATTTTTACCATCAAATTTCTCATATTTTGAGTGTATTTTTCAAAGTAGAGTGAATGTGCCCTTCAGGTAGAAAAAAAATCACTGTATTTATTTCCTGCTTCAATAAATGAAGTACAGTTCTTAGTGTTAGTAGGCATTTTCATACTATTTAACCATTTGGTAACAGAATCTCTGAGCATTACTGAATGGACTGGCAATGTTTCAATATTTGGTTTAAAATATATATGGTATACGTGATTTAGAAGTTTTCTAACTAACCTGCAAGAAAGATAATTACATGATGACACTAAGAAGGAAACAGGCCCATTTAATCAGCAGTATATGGCAAATGTGAAGTTTCAAGTGTTTGTTCAAAAGAACATTGCAGGGTTAATTTAAGAAATTGTCATCAGCCTATGCAGTTTCAGAGAAGAGCAAGTTACTAACAATACAGGTCTGTCGCATCTTACGCGCATTTAACATGCGCGATTTCAGCTTTACACTGTCGGCAAAAACAAAAACCCCCAAAAAGGGAAAAATAACAATTTTAATACTGTACCTGTAGTGCGGGCGATTTTGCCCGCCATTCAACTCAGTGTAATTTTGACTATACGCGGTTTTTGCTTTACGCGCTAACTGCAGAACGGAACCCCCGCGTAAGATGAGACTCACCTGTATAATTAAAATAAGCAAGAAGTTGCCATTTTGCCAGTCTCCTTATATAGATTAGGGCAGAGGAATTTCAGGTTCTGATAGCAACCACTCAAAGTCCAAAGTTGTGAAATTAGTTGGTGGTCTCAGCACAGTTATTAATGGATATGAATCCACATAAAAAAAAAAATCAACATCCTGTTTGGAACTCCTTTTGTAATTCTCAGTACAGTGACCAAGGACTGACTGGTCCTGGAGCTTGAACCCACCCTTCCACTCTTAAGAGTGGTACCTCAGGTTAGTGTTGAGGCACACTGGAGGTGGTCAAGTGGGAGGTCTGTATTGCCACTATCCATGTCTTACCTGTATTGTGGATAACCATAGAAGGCAGCCAGAATGTTCAAAGTAACTACTGATTTTGAGTGCCTCCATTTTTGGCTGTCTAACTTGAGAGACTTCAAATGGGTCTGACTTTCAGAAAGTGCTAAGCACCCACTCTCTGAAAATCAGGTGCCTTTAAAGTAGCTAAAGTTGGGCACCCAAAATCACCTACTCTCTTTCGAAAGTCTTGGGTGAGATCCTTGTCCTGTTGAAGTTCGTGGGAGTTTTGCCATTGACTTCAGTATTTCACCCCTTCTTCTTCTTCTTCACAAGGCTGACTGTTTGACATCTTTCTCAGCACTAATATTCAAGAAAAAGAAAATGTGCGGAATGAACCTTTTGAAATTAAAATTTGTGATCCATTAGAAAGTGGCATTTTCTTTATAAAATGACAATAGGAAAATAAGATGTTTCTTTCTTGTCAAGTAACCACTAGGCACTCAATCAGAAACATTGACCATGTTCTGAATTATGATAGTCTTTACTCTTTCATCTAAAGAGCATTAACCAGGCTTTAAAATAAATATGCAGGAGAGGCCTAGATCTTTAGTTGGTGTAAATCAGTTTATACCATCTGGGGCTCTGGCCCACGAACTCTATAACAAAATTAGTTAATTTCACACTTTGTTCATTGTACACATTCAGTACATACCATTTAATTTCTTTTCTGCTTTTAAATAATACAGATCTTTATTATTATAAATGTTTTGTTTTTAATATGCTAGAAGCAACCAGTTCATCACCTGGTGTAAATTATCATAGCTCCATTGACATTAGTTAAGCTATGACAATTTATACCAGTTGAGGATCTGCCCCAGGTCTCTCAAAAGAAAATTCATTAGAAAGCAGTATACACCAAAAGTGTACAGAATTTACTCATGATGTTTCAAAAGATATTGTTGCTGTTGCACCTTGCCATTCTAAGCTCCAACCCCAACAAGACCCTCTTTCTCCTCTCTCAGTAAGTCTTTGTTTTTATTCTGAATGTTAAGTATGGTATCTGAGATCTGCTGCAACTCGTATTCTCCCTCTTTCCTGTTTTGATGCAGTCATTTTGAAATCTGATTCTCTTTCTTGTTTCTTTCCTTTTTTCAGTTCACACTTCCAAAAAAGTGTTGGATTTTTGGGGAGAAAAAAAAAAACGAAACCCAGTTTCAGAGAGAGAGTGTCAGATCATTTATTCTGTTTCTCCTAGGACAATATGTGCAAGCCTTCCGTACTAACCCAGATGAACCTCTGTACAGCCTTTGCATAGGCTTAACTTTCATCCATATGGCATCTCAGAAGTATGTGTTAAAAAGACATGCTCTTCTTGTACAGGTGAGTTATTTTGTTCTTCTTTGTGCATAGCACATGGTGTCATTTAGTTCTGTCCTGGCTCACAGTTACAGCTCTGACACATTATTAGAGCTGATAGACATTTAAAAAATAGATTTAGGGTAGGATTTTCAAAACCCTCCAAGTACCTTAGGAACACGTGTCCCAATGACAGTCAGCTTGTGCTCCTAAGTCATTTCAGTTCTTGAAAATCTCTCCTTTGTGAATAAAAGCAATTCAGTTCATTTTGTTGTGACTTGGGGAATATTTAATTATTTGCATATATTTAGGCAGCTGCAATGTATTCATGAAAATATAAATAATTTCAGCTTCACTAGCTTTAATATGGATGTTTATTCATCTGACCCTTGTGCTGGAAGTGAAGCATTCACTACTCTGGTTTTTAAAAACAAGAGTCCCTTACCCAACCAGGGAGCAGGAACACCACCAAATGACTTAGATGACTAACCACGAATAATGTAGCTGAAGCAAACAGTTCACAAATAACCATAGGTTGAAAATTTTGTCCAAAATATTTGCTGAAAACCTACAAATGAAGGGACGCTCATGGGAAGAT